GCTGAGATTAAAGAAATGTGCCATCATTGCCTGGCCCTCATCACACTTCCTTGATTTGATTAGTAAGTATTCCACTTTTTCCCATACAACTATTGTACCTTCCTACAGACTTTAATGGCCCTGGATGAATTCCCTCACCCTGACCCATAAAACTTTAGACTCAAACATCTGGACACAGAGAGTCCTAGATCCTTATCACTTATAGGTCAAAGACCTCTCAGGTGAGCCTCCAGGTCTTCCAGGCTCTGACAGTGTGAGATCCAGTCTTTCCCTTCCCTCCCCGCTCATAGATCTCAATTTCCTAAAGGAGCTTCTTTTTCCCTCCAGATTCTATACTTCAATTTCTGAACACACCCAACACATGGTAAGAAGTCCTGTCAAAATCCTTATGAACAGGGCTGGAGAGATGGCTCAGTGGTTAAGAGCATTGCCTGCTCGTCCAAAGGTCCTGAGTTCAATTCCCGGCAACCACATGGTGGCTTACAACCATCTGTAATGAAGTCTGGTGCCCTCTTCTGGTCTGCAGACATACACACAGACAGAATATTGTATACATAATAAATAAATAAATAAATAAATATTTTTAAAAAATCCTTATGAACAGGAGTGAAATAGAAATGAGAATGCAATTGAATAAATCCTCAATGAGGGCATTAGAGCAGAACACTGGACAGGAGATCCAGACATTGCAAAAGGCAGTGGTAAACAGATTTGAAAAAACTGAGGAAATTATCAAATTTGATAATCAGGAACAAAAGGTACAAAAGGCAAAATTTAACCTCATCGGTACATAAAAATCTCTGGGATAGCTCCCCCAGAGTTCTGCCTGCCTTTCCAGTAATAACAACAGAAAAAGTATCTGGCCCCAAGTACCCTAAGGTTGTCAAAGAATATACATGGGAGCCCATACATATGACTGATCTAAAGAAAATTAAACAAGCAATTGTAGCTTACAGACTACATTCATCCTTCATTAGGGAAAGGGTCAAAACCTGAGCTTTCAGTAGCAAAGGATACTGGCCTAACAGCTGCCAAAGTTGCCCACTTGAGACACAACCAGAGTGCAGGGAGAGAATCTAGCCATGACTTCAAGCAGCAAGCTTCCAACCGTATACTCCTTTGTCTCGTTAACACTCTACAGGGAACTCAGTGACATGACAAGAGGGTGCGCATGGGAAAAAAAGGAGCAAGATGAGCAGGTTGAACGTTCTGGAAAGTGTGGACTAAAATCATAACTTCTCCCAAGCCCCATGTGTCTGGCGCCAGCTCATCTTCTCTATCCCTGTATAGGGCAATTTCTAAGACTCACAGATTCTCCAGTACTCTCTCTTGCACCTCCTGGCCTTTCTTTTCCTTCCAGCAGGGGCACTGCTACTCACAGTCACCCTTTTTTTTTTAATTTATTTATTTATTTAAGGATTTCTGCCTCCTTCCCACCACCGCCTTCCATTTCCCTCCCCCTCCCCCGATCAAGTCCCCCTCCCTCATCAGCTCGAAGAGCAATCAGGGTTCCCTGACCTGTGGGAAGTCCAAGGACCACCCACCTCCATCCAGGTCTAGTAAGGTGAGCATCCAAACTGCCTAGACTCCCCCAAAGCCAGTACAGTACGTGCAGTAGGATCAAAAACCCAGTGCCATTGTTCTTGAGTTCTCAATAGTCCTCATTGTCCGCTATGTTCAGCAAGTCCGGTTTTACCCCATGCTTTTTCAGACCCAGGCCAGCTGGCCTTAGTGGGTTCCCGATAGAACATCCCCATTGTCTCAGTGTGTGGGTGCACCCCTCGCGGTCCTGAGTTCCTTGCTCATGCTCTCTCCTTCTGCTCCTGATTTGGACCTTGAGATTTCTGTCCGGTGCTCCAGTGTGGGTCTCTGTCTCCTTTCATCGCCTGAAGAAGGTTAATATTCAGGAGGATGCCTATATGTTTGTCTTTGGATTCACCTTCTTATTTAGCTTATCTAGGATTGCGAATTATAGGCTCAGAAAGTATGGAATATATACATATTAGAGTACTACTCAGCTGTAAAAAACAAGGACTTCTTGAATTTTTTTTTTTTTTTTCGAGACAGGGTTTCTCCATAGCTTTTGGTTCCTGTCCTGGAACTAGCTCTTGTAGACCAGGCTGGCCTCGAACTCACAGAGATCCACCTGCCTCTGCCTCCCGAGTGCTGGGATTAAAGGCATGCGCCACCACCGCCCGGCTGGACTTCTTGAATTTTGCATACAAATGGATGGAAATAGAAAACACTATCCTGAGTGAGGTAAGCCAGACCCAAAAAGAGGAACATGGGATGTACTCACTCATATTTGGTTTCTAGCCATAAATAAAGGACATTGAGCTTATAATTCTCAATCACCCTTTTATGACACCCTCTCAGATGCTGCCTCTCTGTCCATCTAGGCCCGGCGGGTGGCTTTCTGCCATCTAGACCTTGAAGCCTTCCTTCCTTCTTACTTCTGCCCACACACTAGATATCAGTGCCCCGAGCAGGTAGTACTGTCAAGGGGACATCACAGAAGAGACAGTGTAATCAGAGTCACTGAGAAAACACAAGCGTGAAGGTTAACTAGTGAGGCAGCCTGACCTTGTCACTCGCCAGCCTCTGCTGCTCACTGCTGTTTCTGCTTGTCCACCACAGATACCCAAGAATGCAGGGCTGGGTCTGTTTGTACTCAGACAACAACACTTAACAGAGAACATGGCACTACAGGCATGACATGATGGCAGACCGAAACAATCCACTCCACAGACATGCCAACGACCTGAGGCAGACCCTAACCCCAGTTTAAAGCTCCCCAGCATGAACTACAGGTCAGCTCAGTGACAAAGGCCAGGGTGGTTTATTTTGGCTTGTAGCCAAAGGGAAATTGTGGGTTATTCATAGCACTGAGGTTGGTGAAAACATAAAACAAAACAAACAAACAAACAAAAAGTAAATTTTTCCATAACTACTAGTTAAAAAAAAAAGAACAAAGTTGTCCTCTGGCCTCTACATGCATGAGCACACACATGCACCTGTGTGTGCATGTGAGTCCACATCTACACATACATACACACACACAATTCATATTGTACTTGTATAGACTTTTTAAAATTATTATTCCCAAATATTAAAGTATAAAAACTATTCACATGGCATTTGTAATTTTTAGCATTATAATTAATTTTTGTTGTTTTTTGTTTGTTTTTTTGTTTTTCAAGACAGGGTTTCTTTGTAGCTTTGGAGCCTGTCCTGGAACTATCTCTTATAGACCAGGCTGACCTTGAACTCACAAAGATCTGCCTGCTTCTGCCTCCCGAGTGCTGGGGTTAAAGGTATGCACCACCATTGCCCGGCTATAAGTAAATTTTTAAGAGTCAAGGTCTCACTATGTAGCACTGGCTGACCTGGAACTTGCTATGTGGACTAAACTGTCCTCAAACTCACCAAGATCTGCCTGCCTCTGCTACCCTAGTGCTGGTATTAAAGATAGCCTGGCTTATGTGTAATCTTGAAGTGGCTTAGAGTTTGCAGGAAAATGAGAGCTTTTCTGGGGAACTGGGGGGATCAATCATCCCTCTATTATGAAGGATTGCATTATCATCCTCAAAGAAATGAAAGATTACAAATTAAAGAGATTAGCATAAAACAGACAAGAAAACCTAACGCAGAAACCATACACACGTCATACTAAGCTGATTACACTTACATTTACAGAGAATAGCCTAATTAAAATAATTCAAAATATATCCTAGCTAGGAATGAAATTAATAGTATATCAAGATCCTAAGAACCAAGATTCAGCGCAAAAGAAAAGATGTTCATTTAATTTCTCATATCGAAAGATTATAGAACATATAGAGATTATAGGCATGAGCTCTTCCGTGGTCTGCATCAAAACCATACGCCATCAAGAGAGAGGGACTGATGATTGATTGCCTAAAACTAAAGAGGTATTCTTAAATACAATACCACCTACTAAGTGAAACAATACCACAACAGATTCTTACAGAGCGACAAACTCCTCAATGGCAAAGCAAACAGGACTCCAGACTGGCAATTCACAAAGGAAGAAATACCAGGGCCAATAGACAGACAAGAAAAGCCTTTGGATCTTAACACTCACAGTGAAACGCAAATTAAGTTCCAGGGGTAGTCTGAGGAACCCAGCAGGGGGCAGCACTCCTCTGAGACTGGGCAGGAAGCGAGCTCCTGCAGTACCGAGTCTGTAGGTTACCGGGTGTCCCAAAGGAGGAAATGCTTTCTGTTGCCTATTGATTTTCCAAGAACTACTAGCCCTATTAGGCAGAACCGTATGCAAGCAATCTACTTCTGAGTATCAAAAGTTCGTTTATCATATACTAACTTATTGGCTAAAAATGCAGAAACAAGCCCTTATAAAGTTACCCTACCTGCATGTATATTCACAAAGAAACTTCCAAGCATTCAAAATCAGTAATGGCAGCTGCTCAGTGGAGGAGGGGAAATGTTGAAAACTAAGCAGATGGGAATGGACTAGAGATGGCACTTTTATTTAGTACACATTTTGTTTGTGAGTCATATAAATATATTCTCTATATAAACATAAAATTAAAATATGCTGTTTAACGAAAAATAATTGTAAGTGAATTTCTCTTTTCTTTTTCTTTGTTCTTTCCATATAGACATTTTCAGACAGCGCTCCCTAGTGATACAGTTTCAACTTTCCAGACACCATTTACCTGCCCCTTATCTTAACATCCAGCCTTACTGAGATTCCCCGGGACCCCTGAAGAAGGGTCCACTCTTAAGACATTTAAAATTCTGTGGCATGTACTAAAACGTACTGTTTTTACACCTCACTTGAAACGGCACTCTGAAAACTTTTGTCCTAAAGACATACTAGGTGAGGGCGAAAGGATGACTCTGCAGCACTATATATTTCAGGGGGACATTAGGAGCGACCACAAGCCAGCAGACCCCATTTTGAGTGACAAGGCTCCCTGAAACTCCCACCCTTGGCTCTAGGATGCTCCACTCACTTGGTCTGCGCAGGGGTGCGATGGTTGGTATTGGAGCAAAAGATGTTGGACTTGCGTGTACCATCGAGGAATTCGCGAACTGAGCTATCGCGGAGCTCGGCCAGGGGCCGGGCCTCGTGCTTGAGGTACCACTGGTGCGCCTCGAAGCACTTGTTGCACATGAGCTGCTCACACTCGAAACACCAGAAGTCAGCCGACTCTTTGCATCGGGTGCACGTAGCCTGCACATCCACGATCTGCCGGAACACCGCCAGGCGCCGCTGCAGGCTCTCGAAGAACACGTTATCCAGGGCTTCCGCAGGAGGGTCGGCTCCCGGCGCCTGGCAGATAGTGCACTGAAAACCCCGCGCCTCCAGGCATCCGGAGCACAGCGTGTGCAGGCAAGGAAGCAGCTTGGGGCACTTGGCTTGGGCCTGGCAGCCCAGGCAGCGCAGAAACTGGAATTCCTCCTTCAAGGTTTGCTGGTGAACCAAAGAGAGAAATGAGGCCTACAGAAAGCCCAGAATTCCCCCACTGCCAGCCCATCCCTTGAGCTGGAAGCTGGAATTGGTAGGACCTCGCATTCCATCCTAGGGAGTCATTGGATCATGCTCTGGCTTATCAGCACCCCAATTATTCATTTACTCAGGCCTTGCAGCTCTCACTGCACAATTTACCGGGCACCTAACTATATACCACTAACCTCACTAATAGGCCCTGAGAGAAGTCTGGATACACCTTTGCATTCAAAGAACTCAAGTTTGGAAATCAGGTAATACACTAATGTACCAACCTCACACAACTGCCGGGGGTGGTCGCCAAAAGTTAGACACAGAACTACTATATGATCAGAACTTCCACCTTTCATATACACCCAGAAGAACTGGGGGACAATCACAAGCAGATATTTATGTACTAACGTGTCCAGCAGCACTAACCACAAGAGTCACAGCGACCCAAGTGCCGATTCGCACATGAATTCATGAGCAAAACGTGTCTGCACATATAATGGAATATTATTCAACCTTTAAAAGGAATGAAATTCTGATTACATGCAACAACATGGATGAACATTATGGTAAGTGAAATATGCCATGAAGTGAGAAATATCATGCAATTCCATTTATATGAAATATTAGACTAGTTAAGTTCATAGAAACAGAAATTATAGCTATTGTTTAAAGAGCACAAAGTGCTCAGTACAGTGCCTGGCAAATGAGAAATACCCATAAATGTTAACTAGTATCGTTAATCCTTAGCTATAGAATGCTAATAATTAAAACGTTATGGCAATATGGCCTTATTTAGGTTTTTGTGAAGAGGAAAGGGAAAAGAATAAAGAGATAGAGGTTTTTCTTTTGGAGATAAGTATGACAAGTTGAGGTAAAACTTCAGGGAGAACCAAGAACTAGGCTTCCTTAGGAGAAGCCACATGAGCAGGGCATGATGGCACACACCTTTGCTCCCTGTACTCTCAAGGTAAAGACAGGTGGTCTCTGAGATTGAGTCCAGCCTGGCTTACACGGTGAGCTCCAGCCCTGCCAAGACTATATAGTGAGGTCCTGCCTGAGGAAAAGAAAAACGAAATATCCCTAAACTTCATATGCATAAAATAAAATAAATCTATAAAAATTAAAAGAGAAGCCAAATGAATTGCCTTGGTATTAGTCAAGACAGCGCTTTGGTCGGGGCCAAGTTTTGTCTATTTCTGTTGTATTGTTTTGGAACGGGGTCTTGCTGTGTCGCCCTTAGCAGTCTTGAACTCTCTTTGTAGACCAGGCTGGCCTGGAACTTATCACCTCCCTCCAGCACCTATATCTCAAGTACTGTTGCTCCTGGCATATGCTACCACAGCTGGGGGGAGGGGGTGTAAATGGTTTTGTCATGTTTGGGGCATGCCTTTAGCTCCAGGCTATGGCAAAGGAGGCTCCTGCACTGGCCATCTCCCTGGATGATTTTCATCTGAGCTAAAAGACAAGGCTCCTGGGGGGTAGAAGTGGCCCATCTCATTACAATACAACTATACCCACGGCTCTCCTAATTCATGCTGGTTCCTCTTTTTAGTCTATGCTATCCGTCCCACCACTGCCCAGACAGGAGGGTCAGGACCTTGGTGTCTCTCTAGGACACTAAGTTACCTTCTCTATAAAAACCTTCATTCTCAATTCCACCATTAAAGTAAACAAACAAAATCCTAACAATCCTTCATCTAACCCAGTAGTACCTCCGTCGGGCTTTGGTTGTGTTCATGGTCTTCAGAGGGGTCCTCCGGAGGAGGCATGGTGGGCGTGGGGGCCAGGGTGGGGTCCTGTTGAAGGCAGGGAGATCCAGAGGACGCGGGGGCCTTCTGCATGGAAACCGGTGCAGTTTCGATTTCTGGAATGGGTTTGTGTGGGCGGGAGAGGAGTCGCAGACTTAAGGCAAAAAAACTGAGCAGCCTGAGCTGTCCAGCGGGGAGGTACCCGCTGAGGGCCCGCCTCCCGAGAGGAAGTGAGACAAGACTGGGGCGGGTCTAGGGGCGGAGGAACTGGTTTTTGAACTCCCTTCAGGAGTTAGAAGAGAAAAAGTAGGGAGCTATGGAGCCACCTCGTGTAGAACCAGAAAGGTTAACCAAATACGCAAACAAACAAGCCCAGCGTGGTGGCATGGCTCTGTAGCAGAAAGATCGCGAGTTTGACTGCTCAACGACGGAAGAGACTGCCACACGCGTTATGCACGCTAGGAGAGGTGCAGAGCCTGGCTGGCTATAGAGGCATTCCCCTGTTCCAGATCTGTCTGTGAGCTATTCTGCTCACCTCACAGCTCTGTGCCTCCCTAGTTAAGAACCCCTCTTTGAGAGACTCTTTTTTTATTAAGAAATAAACCCCTCTTTGAGAGAACCACCAAGTCACCCCAAATGGAGACTTCGACCTAGTATTGGGATGGGTCTGCCTGGAAAGGCATCCCGCAGCTGAGAATGGAACACGCAGTAGAAAGTACCGGGATTCAGGGTTGCAGAGACACTTTTAAGAGAGAAGAGAATCTAGAAAGGAAGACCATTTTCAAATCTGAGCTGGAACTCCTGAAAAACGATCCCTGAGAAGAGGAGATTAATCATAAGGCGGAAGACTGACCAGTTGTATAAATGATCCGAGTGTTGGTGAAGGTTTTGGGACATGGTGTCAGCTGTGTCTCTCTGGTGACCTTGAGACAGGCGACTTATGAGTAGTGGCTGTGGGATGCAGAGGAGGACCTGAGTCAGGTGGGAGGACACTGGTGAAGGACAGAACAGGATGAAGCCTTGAGAGACGGCGGGTTTGGAGAACGGTGGAGAGAGCAGGGAGGCAGGGGGAGGACTGGCCAAAAGCAGAGGAGAGAGCGAGGAGACAGAAAGCTAGCTCTAAGGGAAAAGGAGTTCAGAACCCCGTGGGCGAGGGAAAGGCACACCTGTAGGTAGTCTCACTGGCCGGTGCCTTTGGCTTTCCAACTTCAATCTGTTCCCTCCCATTTTTCTGGCCCTGTGTACATCCATCCTACGCCGTGTTCCTATGTGAAAGAGATCAAAAGGGATGATGACAGGTCCCTGCTTTTGTAAACTTAAGAGTTGAGATGAGGGAGGGTCTAAAGGGAGACACAACTTCCTAGAGACTATGAGAAGCCTTGAAAATGGCCCATTTCTCCAGGCTGACCTGTACTTCTTGACCTTTAAAATTGGGCCATCAAAACAAGAACAGTCAAGTGTAATGGACAATTGTTTCTGTCATATTTTGTTAAAAATGTTTTTATACAAATATTTGTGTTTTCTTTCCTCAATTTCTTTATCATGTGATTATGTTAACATCAATTAAGAGAATATCAATGCTTATATTTAAGTTCCAAATGCTAAAAGAATGTCCCTCAGGGACATTGTCACCTAAATTTATAATGCATTTGCAGTTGTATGAGAAATAGTTATGTTAGGTGTAATTATTACATTATATAATATAATAAATTATATTATATATAATTTGTTAAATATATAATGTGTTTGCAATTATACATGGGATAGTTATAGTATGTTTAGGCATTATTATGACTTGTTATTGTTTTCATTTGGGAATTAATCACAACATAGGGAGACATGATTGTATCTCAAGTTGACAAGGGGTGAAATTGTGATGGCTATTCTTGGTCATCAACTTGACTACATCTGGAATTAACTAAAACCCCACTCCTGGTACCAACTTGTCTTTTTATTGTTGTGATGAAACACCATAACCAAAAAGCAAGTTGGAGAGGAAAGGGGCTTAATCTGCTTACATTGTCACAGTGTAGTCCATCGATGAAGGAAGCCAAGACAGAGACTCACAAACAGGGCGAGATCCTAGAGGCAGGACCTGATGCAGAGCCCATGGAGGGGTTTTGTTTACTGGCTTGCTCCCCATGGCTTGCTCAGCCTACTTTCTTATAGAACTTACAATGGGATGGGGCCTTCTACATCAATCATTAATTAAGAAAATGTCTACAGCCTACATCCCAGTCTCATGGAGTTCCTTCCTGTCAAATGACTCTAGCCTGTGACAAGTTGACATTAAATTAGCCAGCACAGCAGTCATAGGCAGAGGGACTTAGAAATGGGCTCTGGCAGGGATCTCAGGAGGCAAGATTGGGAAAGCTTCATTTTTGCTGGTTTTATAAAATGGCCTCCTGACAGCCTCTCCAATATCCCATTGGAGTACATTTGCTCCCTTCATTTGGGCATTCTATAGCCATGGAAAGACAAGTTCATTCAAATACCTGAATCAAGGTGTCTAATACGATGCTGTGATAACTCTGCCATCTTTACCTCTGTGCTACATCCACCTCCACCACCATCACCTCCACCACCACCACCATCACATCCTCCACCTCCACCACCACCACCGCCAGCACTACTACTACCACCTCCACCATCACCTCCACCATCACCTCCACCTCCATCACCATCACATCCTCCACCACCACCACCATCTTCTTCATCACCACCACCACCTCCACCATCACCTCCACCATCACCTCCACTATCACCTCCACCACCACCACCACCACCACCACCCCCACCACCATCACCTCCACCATCACCTCCACCACCTCTACCATCACCTCCACCCCCACCACCATCACCTCCACCATCACCTCCACCATCACCTCCACCACCATCACCATCACATCCTCCACCACCACCACCATCTTCTTCATCACCACCTCCACCATCACCTCCACCACCACCACCACCTCCACCATCACCACCACTATCACCTCCACCACCATCACCATCACATCCTCCACCACCACCACCACCACCACCATCATCTCCACCACCAGCACCAGCACTACATCACCACCATCACCTCCACCATCACATCCTCCACCACCACCACCACCATCATCTCCACCACCAGCACCAGCACTACACCACCACCATCACCTCCACCACTACCACCACCACACCACCAACACCACCAGCACCACCAGCAGCAGCAACAGCAGAACCACCATCACCACTAGCACCACACACTGCCATGCTTCCTGAGGTGTCTGAACGTGGAATTTCTATTTCATACCAAAGTTCAGGCCTTTTGACTTCACCTTGTCCACAGTGACTCAGATCTGCCATCACTAAACAAATAAATACAGCGCTCAGTATGACAGGCTCTGTCTTTTGGGCTGTGGGGAAACAAAACAAGATCAATTTGCCAATTATGCCCAGGAAAAAGCCCAAATCGGAGTAAAAACACATTTGTCAGTGTGTTGAGTTTGGAGGAGTATTGTAAGGCAGATGACATTTCCTTGATTCTGGAGAAAAGGCTCCTGTAAAGCTTTTTTAAACCAAACTTCCTCTCCTCCTTTCTTAAGGCCAGGTAAAAGATCAGAAAAGAGGTGGCTGGGACCCCTCAAGAAGCTCTAGTTTAGCACCAAGGCCATGCCCCCAAACAGCGACAGCAGTTCGGTCCTCCCAGCACAGGGGGCGCTGTAGTACGGCAGGTGCGGACCCGGTCAGCTTCCTGCTGCTGCGCAACCACTGTCCTTGGCGACGCAAGTGAAGCCGGAAGCGGTGGAGGCGAGGCGAGGCGAGGCGGGGCGGGGCTGACGCGGGCTGGGCAGGGCCGGCGCCCGGTGGAGGCACTGGGCGTGTACCCGGTCAGAAGTCATGTTCGGCAGGTCCGGCTACCGGGCTCTGCCCTTAGGGGATTTTGATCGTTTCCAGCAGTCAAGTTTCGGCTTTCTGGGTTCGCAAAAGGGGTGCTTGTCCCCAGAGCCGGCCGGCGTGGGGCCGGGGGCCGGTGAGTGGCTGCCCAGCAGCACTGCGGACCGCAAAGGGACTGGCCGGTACCCCCAGACCTGTCCTCCCTGCCTATAGGAGGAGGGAGCATGAAGGGAATAGGATGTGGAGAGGGTGTCAGACCAGGCGTTGGGATGCTGCTGCTTTGTCCCCTCTAGGGCCACCAGCTGCAGCTTCGGAACCAGCGTAGCCCCATCTTCCCGAATCTCAGCTTTTCACGTTCATATTTTCAGGATAGCCCATCATGCATAGAAAGAAAACAGAACTCTAGGCAGAGGAGGCCACAAGCAGCCTAAAAACACCTGCAGAGAAATGGAAAAAGAATCACCCAAGGGTAGCAGCGCAGGGACCAGATGTCTCCTGTGTACTGGTGAAGATGCACAGAACAAAAAGGCAGGCCTGCAAGCTTTGCCTCTTTCTTGCTCCAGAGCCTTCTGTGGCTTCTTTGGCCTGACCTTGAGAATTTGGGCCCTCTGTGGTTCTCCTGTATTGATAACACATTGAATGATTTGCCATTGATGAATGAAATTCCAGTATTCTGCCTCCTGTTCTTAGGACTGCTGCTGGCCAAAGAGTCTATTCCTGAAGAGGCCAGAGTTCAGAATTTAGAAAGCCCTGCAGGCAGGGGCTCCCTGAAGGATAGAACAGTCTCTTTTCACCTTGTCTAGGGCTGGGAGGTGAGCAGACAGCAAGCTCACCCTAGATTCTGTGGCTGTCTGCTCAATACCCATTCTCGATTCTTGGTTCTCCAGGGGTTAGAATCTTTGTTCTTAGCCGCATCTGCCCAGCTCTTCCCTCCAAACAGCTTGAATTGAAATATACATTAATCTTTTTAGGGAATTAAAGTGGAAGTAAGATACTTCATTCTCACTGTGACTCTTGTTGATGAACAATGACTATTTCATCCTTTTTAGCGGAGGTCTTTTCCCCCATAAGGATCTCACGAAAGCATGCTTTTGGTAGAAGAGGAATGTGTTAGCACCCGCAGCGTTAGTTCCACCAGCATAAGTGTTCTCTTCCAGGTTTGGGTGGGCAATACACATTAGACAAGGGGTGGCCGATCCCTGCTCTGTCCAGCAAAAATCACACGGATTGTGTTCGCAGATTCACTGGCTCTTACCTAGGAGAGTAAAGTCTTGTGTGGGGTGTTGCACTTGAGATCAGTTAGTTATGATGTGTGGTCCCTAACTAGCTTCGGGAAGCCTCTGAAGCAGAAGGCAGGCAAAACATACACATGACCCCAGACTCTGGGGACACTGTACTTGAAGTGGCCCTGTCAGGCCCAGCTGGTAGTCTGTGGTTGCTTCTGCTCTTTTGTCCCCAGATGCACCTGAGAGCTGGCCCTCCTGTCTCTGCCATGGCTTCATCAGTTTCCTGGGGTTCTTGCTGCTGCTGCTCACCTTCCCCATTTCTGGCTGGTTTGCTCTGAAGGTAAGGCTGACTGAATGCTGTTGGGGAGTTGGGAGACACAGTGAAAGCTTTGGGTTTTGATGACTGGGTTCCCCATATTTGGCCCCTTGCCTCTAAATGTTATCACAGCTCTGTGAAACAAGCAAGGCTGGGTTGTTCAATTTCTGAAGGCTGATGATGTCAAGTTCTCAACTTGACATGCCTATGAAGAGGAAACCTCGATTGAGGGATTATTACCTCCATCAAATGGGTCAGTGGCCTTGTCTTTGGGGGCATTTTGATTGCTGAATAGTGTAGGAGGGCCCAGTCCCCTGTGACACCATCCCTAGATAGTTGGGCCTGAGTTAGTTGAGCAAGCAGGGGAGGCGGGGAAAGCCAGTAACCGTCATTCCGTTATTCCCCAAGGTCTCAGCTTCAGTTCTGCCCCCAGTTTCCTGCTTTAGCTTCCCTCAGTGAAAGTCTGTAGCCTATATGTCAAATAAACTCTTCTCCCCACATTTCTTTGCTCATAGTGTTTATGACAACTACAAGAGAAACCAGGACAGTTCCCATCCTTAACATGAATAAACTGAGGGCCAGACTTAACCAGAATCACCTTGGGAGCTAGTAAGGAGGAGAAATGAGTTTTCTGAGGCCTGGAATCTAGACACATGACTTTGCCAAGTCATCCTCCCTTTCGCTCAGGTCCATTTGAAAGAAAAGCACACAGCTTGCCCTGGGAGCTCAGGCCTCATTTTACAGAAGTGGTGGTACTTATGGGAAAGGATGGAGGTACCGCTGTAGTTGAGTTCCACCCCTGGCAGCTCCTGGTGAAGCCCAGGCAGGCCTTTCTCTTTGCATGGTCTTCGCAGTGATGTCTCTAGAAAGCCTCTGAGTTTGTGTGGTCTAGAAGGGAGCACTGAGTTGAACTCAAATCCTACTTCCCCAGTGCCACGGAAACAAATGCCCTATGACCATGGATGTAGGGTTCTCTTGCCTTTAGTTCTCAATTTAGATTTAACTATTTCTTGAGGGTCTCCAGGGATCTGAAGGTGGTGAAGCTGTTTGCTCGGGGCATTTGTTAGAGCAGCCAAGCCTTTTCCCCAACGAATCCAAAAGCAAACAGTTCCCAGAATGAGTCATGATTAGCTTCAGGACACAGAGGTAAAGTTTCTCTGGGTCAAGTCAGTACTAGTGCTGATTAAGACATGGCCTGTTACTGAGAACAGCATTCAGACCATGGCCCTTTCCTTCGAGGGACTGTATGATCACCGAGCATGTCTGCGAGCCTTGGCTCTCTCGTCTAAGCACAGCTAAGTATCGTGGTCTTTTTGTCACTGTGATAGCATAGCCACTGGAGACAGTTGAGAGGTGGGCTCACTTTGGCCCTCAGCTTCAGGAGTGTCCGTCCTTTCTGTCTTGACCCAGTGTGTTTGAGCAGAGCATTACCGTGTACCACCTCATGACAGAGAAAAAGGAAAATAGGAAGTGGTCCAGGTTTGCTTCTGGCCTTCACACATACCCTACACACCAAGAATATTAATTAGACTGGCAGGGTGAAGTGAGGAGGGCAGAGGGGGGTCTGGCAATTGACATTGGCCAGCCTAGGCGAACCACTTCCAAACCCTTTCTTTTGCCATCATGAACAGATCGTACCCACCTATGAGAGGATGATCGTGTTTCGACTGGGCCGGATCCGAACCCCCCAGGGCCCTGGCATGGTTCTTCTCCTGCCCTTCATTGACTCCTTCCAGAGGGTGGATCTGAGAACCCGAGCCTTCAATGTTCCTCCTTGCAAGGTGAGGGGCTTCTCAGCTGCCCTGCACAGAGTGAATGTGGTCATGCATGGTGAATTTGGGGTATACCTGGGCTTTGAGCCACACCTGACTCCACTTTCTTGGAGATACCATTTAGTCTTTGAGGAGCTAGCTGCCAGGCAAGTGGGTTAAGTTGGGTAGTCTCAGTGAGTTTGACTTCCCCCCCAGTAGCCCCTGCCCCTTTTAATGTTATCTCTATCATGGTCTTCTAAAACAGTTGGCCTCTAAGGATGGGGCTGTGTTATCTGTGGGAGCTGATGTCCAGTTTCGCATCTGGGACCCAGTGCTCTCCGTGATGGCTGTGAAGGACTTAAACACAGCTACTCGAATGACCGCCCACAATGCCATGACCAAGGCCCTACTCAGGAGGCCGCTGCAAGAGATCCAGATGGAGAGGCTCAAGATTGGTGACCAACTCCTGGTACGTGGCTTCTCACGAGGTGCTACTCTGGGTCTGGCAGCGGGGCCTGGCCCTCTCTGCCAGCTCACTTTGAACAAGGACAGAGTTACTCTGGGTCTTGGCTCACTATATGTCCCAACATTATTACCACCTGAAAAGAATTGGGTGAGGCCCCACGTGGAGGGGCAGAGGTGACCCGGGGCCCACACTCGAGCACACGTGTCCTGAAAAGAAGTGCCCTAGTGGAAATCCTTGGCCCTGCCTCTGGCTGCTGAGGCTTTCCCCTCCACTGCTTCTGTGACCACAGCCCTGCACCTTGGGCCCTCTGCAGTTTCTGATCTGGTGGGTGAGGGGAGCAGGGCTCTCTGGGTGCAGCCACGTGCTTAGGACTCCTGCACAAGCATTTTCATTTAGAGCTTATCTTCTTGTTTAGAACAGAACAGAGACTCGGGGCTCCTGAGTCTGTCTCCTGTCTCCAGCTCTACATGTATGAAAAATTATGTACACTAGAATTTGTCTTCTTTCCTGTCTATTACATGTGCAGTGGTCTGTCCCTCCCATACCCAACTTGTGCTTCTTCTCCTCCTGTGTGGCCTAGTGTTTGCCCAACATCACCACGACCCCCAACTGGGGCAGGATGAAATTCCTACCAAACAGCGGCCCTCATCGCACAGTGGTTGTTTGATTGTTTTGTGGCAATGTCAGTTGAGGATGGAACCCAGGGCTGTGGGCATGCTAGACAAACATTCTAGCGCAGCATTTTATGGCTTACAGAGTACTTGTACCTGCCCAACAGCATCTCAGCTTCTCATTTTCACTGTGAGAGGCCAGTATTTGCTGTTTTAATAGAGGAGGGGCATTAAGGCCCAGAAATTATTCCAGTTGGTTCTGAGAACCATTCATGGTAAAGGGCACTTCTGGGCCAGAACTAGACCATCTGCTCCTACCCACAATGCAGTGTTCATTTTACACAACTCAGGTAGTACGCTGCTACCAGACTTTCTTCATGCAAGCACATCCTGTTATAATTCATCTTTGGGAAGATAAGATTGATCTTAAAGTTGTACTGCTTTGACATGAGAGGGGCAGTTTGGAAGAAGTTCATGTCAGATGTGAGAGTCTCTTAGGGTCCATTGCCCAGAGCCTGTCTACATCTCCTGGTAGAGTCGAGCTCAAAGGAACTCTCTGGAGCTGCCTTGTGTCTCTCCAGTCCTGTTCAAACAAGTGTGCATTTTCCACTTCCCTTTCCCCTCTGCAGGGTTGTGAACTCCCCTCCCACCTCTTCCTTAACTGCTACTTCTCGGCCTCTTCCCCAGTTGCATTTTGGCCAACAGCTTCTTAACCCTCCACTGCCCTCCTGCGGCCCCCACCCCTTGCTCTCTGCCCACCCTGCCTCTTTACTCTCAGGAGAGACTGCAGGCAGAACCTTCATACCCTCTGCATCTCTGCTTCACTGTGCCTCCTGCTTCCCTGCTGGAGGCTCTTCCCTATACTGGGCCCTGTCTGATCCCATCTCTCTCCCAAGGGTTCCTTCTTCAAGCTCTCATCCCTTCTTCACTTCCTTCCAGAAGGTTCTGTTCCTCTCCCTCCATCCTTAGTGTGAACTTCGCTCAGATTTAGGCGATAGCTCTGGCTGTCACCAGTGACCTCTTTCTGGTCTGACCAGTAGGTGTTTCTCAGCCCTTCCCCTATTGCACCTAGTAGCTACAGTCTCCTTTGGATCTTTCCACCAGAGCCCCTCACAGCCCCCAGCCCTGCGTGATCTCCTGCCCTACAGAGTCCAGGATTCTTTCGTGGACCTTCTCATTTCTTTCTGCCTCCCGCCTCCGGGCAGAGCTCCAGGGCTCACAGCAGTATGCTCCAGTCTTATGTTTGTGCACCCTGCTCCCCTTTATCCTTTGGAAACTTACAAAACCATCCACAGACACCTTGAGCTAACAGTACGAGAATAGTTGTTATCCCTCCCCTTCGTCCCTTGCATGTCCTCTCTACATAATGCCATCATGACCCCAGGAGCCTGCCTTCCCCACCCCTGGGCCATCCGTATGCATTGCACAGTCTGTTTCCCTCTCCTGTGCCTGCTGGGACCTGGCAGGGTTTGCAAGGCAGGCCTCCTTCTGCTTCTGTCTTACCACTGCCCCCCAGCCCTCCTCGTCCCCTCTCCACACCCCTGCCCAGACCCCTAATCCCCTCACCACACCCTGCCCAGACCCCTAATCCCCTCACCACACCCTGCCCAGACCCCTAATCCCCTCACCACACCCATGCCCAGCCCTTCTAATCCCCTCACCACACCCTGCCCAGACCCCTAATCCCCTCACCACACCCTGCCCAGACCCCTAATCCCCTCACCACACCCTGCCCAGACCCCTAATCCCCTCACCACACCCTGCCCAGACCCCTAATCCCCTCACCACACCCTGCCCAGACCCCTAATCCCCTCACCACACCCTGCCCAGACCCCTAATCCCCTCACCACACCCTGCCCAGACCCCTAATCCCCTCACCACACCCATGCCCAGCCCTTCTAATCCCCTCACCACACCCCTGCCAAGCCCTCCTAATCCCCTAACCACACCCCTGTCCAGCCCTCCTAATCTCTTCACCACACCCCTGTCCAGCCCTCCTAACCCCCCTCACCATACCCCCTGCCACAACCCCTCACCTCACCACACCCCTGCCAAGCCCCCCTCATCTCTCACCTGCAGTATGAAACCACTCCTCCACTCCCAACCCTCAGCGCAGTGCCTACACAGCACCAAGAGTACCTTTTCCAAAAGGGAGTCTGCTTGGTTGGCCTCCTCCTGTCTATAAACTCCTCTCTGGGATTCCTTGTCACCTGTGAGCAAATCCAGCAGAGCAGGAAGAGGCTGCCTGGAACCCTGAGTTCTTATCAGTGCCCACTCCATATTTGAGAATCTAAGTGGAACTTTCTAGACTCTTCCATTTGGGGTTTGCTGAGAAGGTCTCCTCTGCTTCTACTTAGAGTTCACACCTCCCTCCCCGACTCAGCTCTTGTCTAATCATGCAGCTGGCTTTTCTTGCTGGATTCCCATCTGGGAGCTTCTCCAGTATGGATATGGGACCTCCATCCATGTCCATATGTGGCTATAGTGAGTTGTCCAGAGATGTTCAGGGAAGCCTTATCAAATGACTCCCATCTCTTCCGTCACCGCCCTCAGCTGGAGATCAATGATGTGACCAGAGCTTGGGGCCTGGAGGTAGACCGTGTAGAGCTGGCGGTGGAGGCTGTGCTGCAGCCACCCCAAGACAGCCCCCCTGTGCCCAACCTGGACAGCACCCTCCAGCAGCTGGCCTTCCACTTGCTGGGGGGAAGCATGAGCTCAGTGGTAGGAGGTGCTCCATCCCCAGGACCAGGTAAGGAGTCGAGTGCTCACCCGCTATCTTAATAGCAGTTTTTCTTCTAGTCCCTTTTGCTGACTGGAGTGGGGGGGCCTGGAGAAGAGCCCAAGTGTGCAAGTGTGTAGAGGCCCTAGTACCTCTGGGAAGAAGCTGTAGTCCTGCATGAGCTGGAAGGAGGTGGTGCTGCAGGCCAGAGTTGCTTTGACGTGGCTGGGGATGTTGGCTGGGAACCTAGAAGCAGCTTAGGAGAGGATACACCTGTACAGAGCATGAGGGACTGGAAGAAGCAGCTTCACAAAGGGGCGGGGTGATGCCGACCTTCGCAGTACACTGACCTGTTCTGTCTCCCTCCCGACCCAGTAGACACCTTGGAAATGATAAGTGAAGTGGAGCCGCCTGCCTCTCATGCCGGGGCTGGGGATGAGCCCAGCTCAAAGCAGCCCGTGGCTGAGGGCCTTCTCACTGCCCTGCAACCCTTCCTGTCAGAGGCACTGGTTAGCCAGGTTGGGGCCTGCTATCAGTTCAACGTCATCTTGCCTAGCGGCACCCAGAGTATCTACTTCCTGGACCTCACTGCAGGTGTGGCCATCCCCTCCATCCTTCCCTTCCCACTCAGATGCTGGTGCCCTCTCCCTTGGTCCTTTAAAGACCATCCGCTGCTCCTCCCACCTGATTGGAATGAACCCATAATGACAGCTGGGGCTTTGGTTTCTCTGTGATTGGCAGAACAGTTCAGTCGGGTAGCCAGGAGCCTCACACACAGCAGGCCTGCTGCATCCCAGGCTCTACACTGAGCGCCCTACTTGTCAAGATTATCATTCTCTTCATAAATTTGCAAACAGAAGCAACAAGCAGTTACAGTCAGTAAAGTCTGAAGCCACTGTATTAGAGCCTGCCTACTCCAACTGTATGTCTGGAGGGTGGGGTTGAGTCTAGGCCACACCCCCAGCTCTAGAACTTGAGCTAACCAGCGCTTGCTGTTCCCAGTGGGATGTGCTACCTCTCTTCCCCACATAGTATCCTCTTACTGATGCCAGTGCTACCTCCCCACAGGACAAGGCAGAGTGGGACATGGAGCACCTGATGGCATCCCTGATGTGGTGGTGGAGATGGCTGAGGCGGACCTGCAGGCCTTGCTCTGCAGGGAACTGCGGCCCCTGGGGGCCTACATGAGTGGGCGGCTGAAGGTGAAGGGTGACCTAGCTGTGGTCATGAAGCTGGAGGCTGTCCTTAGGGCCTTGAAGTAGCAGTGTTGGTTGTCCACCCATGACCTAACCGTGAACCTGGTGCCAAGCCAGAGAAGCCTCTTGGGATAGGAGGCATTGGTCTGGGCTGCAGAAAATTGAAACCTGAAGGTGTTTCCAGCCCAGCCAGGAGCCCAGAAGGCTGGGAGACAACTGTTGCTGGTCAGTGCTGAGTCAGCTGTCCTGCACTTGAACCTGTGTGGTTCTCTGGACAGGCCTGTGCTCCATCGATCCCCGGCCAAGTGCTTAGTCCTGAGCTTGCTACGGAGTGAAGACGGAGCCCGGCCTGCCCTGCCCAGCTGGTAACTTGACTGGACAGACAAGAGGCACAGGAGCAGCCTGTATGTCACCCATGGGAAGGACCAGAGCACATGGATCATGGCTCTGACATCCAGGGAGATCAGAGAGTAGGGAAAAGTGGGGAGGGCAGCCCCCCAAGAAGGGGTTGCTGCAGTGGAGCCAGGCTGCCCCTCTTTTCTATTGACAAGCCAGAGCAGGCTAGGAGGGGAGGGCGTGGACAGAGGAGAGTTGTTTCTTCAGGGGGCCTGCTCCCGAGGACACCTGGTCTTGTCCACCAGCTTCATCGTGCATGCTTGAGGAGCTGGCTCAGGGCAGCATGTGGGAGAGCCCTGCTAGTCTGTGCTTACTAGAGGCTTGAGAGCCTCTGACAAATAAATGTGGCATTTACAGCGTGCATTGGAGAAGTGCAGCTGGCTGTGGGGCGCGGTGGGGCAAGTAAGGTCTATAAGGCCCTATGCCTCGCCAAGAGCCAAGGTTAGAGACTGACACAGGCTCTCGGGGCATTTGAAGCTCTTCCTTCTGGGAAGAGCCCTGAACATCAGGAGGAGGTGACTGTGGGTTGCTCTCTGTCTCTTTTTATAGCGAGGGAACAGATTTACCAGGGAAGTAGGGCATGAGTACAAAAACTAACCGGAGAGCAAGGTGAGGGGCTCATAACATGTTCAGGTGCGGAGCCGGAGCCACTGTGAGCAGAGGGGGTTGCTTCCCTGGCTGATGAGGGAGATACAGCTTGCAGCCTGGCTGTTGGCTCATCTGGCTTCTGCTCCACTAGTAGAGCCTCAGCTCATGACTAAAAAGTGAATGTAACATTCTGGAGGGGATTGTAGAGAAAACCAAATCGCACACCAAGCCCATAGCCTTCAGCTTGTCTGCTTGCTGCCAGTGCCAGTCCTTCCTCCTGGGGCCCTTGGACTGGTACCAGGCCCTACAGTGTGTCCCTCTGTCTTTTCTGGTGCCAGATGCTGTCTTGTATTGCTATAGGTTCTCCACCTGGCCTGGGCACTCCCTCAGAGCTAGTGTGGGTCCCACAGACAGTAGGGACCATCTTGAGGCTTTCTCACTGAGGCTGTGTTCCAAAGCCCCTCTCTAGGCCCTGCTAGCTACCCAGTGCCCCTTAGAGTCTTTCCCTCCTGCCGAGCTCCCTCAGCTATTGAGGAACCATTTTCTTTTTTATCCCCAAGAAAGCAGCTAATGTCACATTATGTTTTTTATTAGAATTTTTCTTTTAACAAAATAAAATATGTTAAGGTAAAACAAAATCATCATATCTAAGTAGGACAAGCCAAGCCAACAGAAAAAAAAAATAAAAGAACCCCAAGAGAAGGCAAAAGAATCAGAGACCCACTTGTTCCCACACTCAGGAGTCCTATGCAAGTCCTAGACAGAAAGCTGTAGCATAAACCGGGGCCCCGTGTGCCTCCTGCTTCAGCCTGAGTGCCTGTGAGCTTTGCTCAGTTGTTTTCAAGGGCCTTGTTCTCCTGGCGTCCTCTGTCTCCCCCACTCCTGCCCTTTCTGTAGGGTCCCCTTAGCTCTGAGGGGATGATTTGGTAGAGACATCTCACTTAGAGCTGTGTGTTCCAAGGTCTGTCTCTGCACACTGTCCAGCTGTGGGTCTCTGTATTCCCATCTGCTGCAGGAGGAAGCCTCTCTGATGATGGCCGAGCAAGACACTGACATGTGAGTACAGCAGAGTGCCATTAGGGGTTATTTTATTGTTACTTTTTTTTTTTAGACCAGTAGTATTTGGTTTTACCATAGGTCTCTAGGTTATCTGGACTCTGGTTCCTGGCTACCCAAGCAGTGTTCCATCTCATGGAGTAGGCCTTAGGTCACATCAGACATCAGCTGTTAGACCCACACAGTTAGTGTCACCATTGCCCTATATATGCGACGTTTGTAGATCAAGGTTTTGTAGTTGGGTTGGTACCTTTCTAGGTCATAGACCTCAGAACTTCGGGAGTTGTAGGCACTAGCTCAACCCTTCCTTGTTCAGTGAGTTGCGTTGTCTTTGTGGGGCCTTGCTGCCAGTTTATGGAGAGCAACCTATTGTCTTGGCAATAGCCTGGATTGTTCGGGGATTTCCATGGGACCCTCTTTGTCAACAACTCAGTTGGATGAAACCCAGTCCTGGCACTGCAAGCTTTGTTTGGTGACACAAGATGGCCAATGGGAGTTCTATATCCCTCGTTATTTAGATTTCCTTAGGGTCTCCTTCATATATTATAGGAAGTTCCCCCGCAGTTTCCAAACCACCCCTCAAATGCCCTTCAGTTCTAGCTGTCTTTTCCCTCCTTCCCTCTCTCAACCCCATCCCCCTCCCGTCTCACCTGGTCCTCCTGTTTTCTCCCCCCCCCCACCTACTGCTTCAGTCCCTCCCCCTACCAGGGAGATCCATATATTCCCACCCCAAGTCCCTGTATGCCTTTCCTCTCTGGATTGTAGCTTGGTTATTATTTATTTAAACTAATGTCCAGATATAAGTAAGTACATACCATATTTATCTTTCTGGGTTTGGGTTACTTTACTCAGAATTATTTATTTTTTCTAGTTCCATCTGTTTGCCTGCAAATATCTTGATGTCATTTAAAAAAAAACTGAGTAATACTCCATTGTATAAATGTACCACGCTTTCTTTATCGATTCCTCTGCTGAGGGACATCTAGGTTGTTTCCAATTCGTGGCTGTTATGACTAGAGCAGCCGTGAACAGGGAACCCTTCTTTTCCATTCCCACTGGACCATTAGCTACATGTGAGCATTCACTTGCCAGTGCCCTGAAGGGCTGCTCACACAGGTACCCAGGCCTCCTTCCATGCTCCCTCATCCACAGAACCTTGGCAGCCAGCACTGCCTCCCAGGAAGGAGCAGTCAGTTCCAGGAAAGAGGATCATGGCTTAAGGAGAACTGAAACTGAAATGCCTTTTTTTTTTTTTTAAATGAACTTCTGATTAACATCCTGTTCCAGGAAATGGGAACTTCTGTGGCTGTCTTTGTGTATCCTGAGTGTGTGGCCGGTGCCCCTGGGTCAGAAGACAAGGCAAACTGGGCAGTCCACAGGGGAGGGGATACAGAAACACCTAAAGGGTCTGACAGAATCTGACAGAACCTTCCTTGAGACTGCCACTGAGTAGATCACTAAAAGAGGGAGAGACAGGACAAGAGGACACCCTGTCAGAGCACAAAAGGAAGAAACAGGCTGACACCTCCAATCTGATGAGGGGGAACTGACATATGAGGGCTCTGTGAGGGATTTTTTTTTAAAATATTTATTTATTTATTTATTTATTATGTATACAATATTCTGTCTGTATGCCTGAAGGCCAGAAGAGGGCGCCAGACCTCTTTACAGATGGTTGTGAGCCACCATGTGGTTGCTGGGAATTGAACTCAGGACCTTTGGAAGAGCAGGCAATGCTCTTAACCACTGAGCCATCTCTCCAGCCCCTCTGTGAGGGATTTTTGAGGAGCCAGAAAGAGTAGCTATTATTATGTGCCTACTGTATCCCCGTGCTGAGCTAGAAAGAGTAGCTATTATTATGTGTCTACTGTATCCCCGTGCTGAGCTAGAAAGAGTAGCTATTATTATGTGCCTACTGTATCCCCGTGCTGAGCTAGAAAGAGTAACTATTATTATGTGCCTACTGTATCCCCATGCTGAGCTAGAAAGAGTAGCTATTATTATGTGCCTACTGTATCCCCGTGCTGAGCTAGAAAGAGTAGCTATTATTATGTGCCTACTGTATCCCTGTACTGAGCTAGAAAGAGTAGCTATTATTATGTGCCTACTGTATCCCTGTGCTGAGCTAGAAAGAGTAGCTATTATTGTGTGCCTAATGTGGTATTTGGGTGTCATTTAAAAATCTGTGTGTGTGTGTGTGTGTGTGTTTGTTGTGACAAGACTGGGTTCATAGCCCCACCCTGCTTATAACTCAATATGCTTCCTAGCAGTTGAGTATCTTATCATCAAGTAAGAGGCAGAGAGAGACATGAGGCATGATGGCCTGCCCACAGTGGCACACCTTCTCCACCAAGGCCACTTCTAACCCTTCCCAAACAGTTCCACCAAATGGGGGCTAAGTAGTCAAATATATGAGCCTATGGGGTGTTCTCATTCAAACCATCACGATAGCTGATATATTCACATGGTTCAAAACAAAACAAAAAAAAAGTAGGGGCTGGAGAGAAGGCCCAGAGCTTAAGAGCCATGGCTACTCTTCCAGAGGACCCAATACTCAGCACCTACATGGCTGCTCACAACTGTAACTCCAGGCTTGTGGATTTGACACTCTGTTATGGCATCAGGTACCAAGCATGCATATGGCACACAGACATACTTGCAAGCAAAGCAAAAAGCCTATACACTTAAAGTCATATTATAGTAAATTTGTTAAAGATTGAGGGGAAATGCTGTGAAGATTGTCCCTAATGTGCTCCACCCCATTGAAGTGTCTCCCTCATCTTCCTCCACATGGCCTTGTCATGCTCCCAGAGGGTGGTTACATGATGGTGGTGATTATTATTGTTGTAGGCCTTGCCCTGTAGCCTAAGCTGCCTCAAGTTTATAGGTTCATTCCCACTGCAGAGTACTATAGGTGTTCACCACCAAGCCCAAGTGTTACCCCCGCCCTGGAGTAGGAGGCTGCTAGTTCGTTCCCAACCACCTAGACCCGAATAATCACACAGAAACCATATTAATTACAACACTGTTTGGCCAATTAGCTCACGCTTCTTATTAAGTAACTCTTGCATCTTAACCCATTTCCATTAATCTGTGTATCACCACGAGGCTGTGGCCTACTGGTCAGGTTCTGGCATCTGTCTCCTTCGTCAGCTTACATGGCATCTCCTTGACTCTGGCTACTCTTTTTCTGTGTCTCTGTTCAGATTTCCCTTCTGGCTTTACTCTGCTAAGCCATTGGCTGAAACACCTTTATTCATCAACCAATAAAAGCAACACATACTCAGAATAACATCCCACATCACCCCCCAGCTTTGTTTGAGACAGGATCTTCCTATGTAGCCCAAGCTGGCCTTGGCCTCATGGATCTGTCTCACCATCTCAAATGCTGGATATATCGGCATGTGCCAGCACATCTGACTGCCTCCTTTATTCCTAATTCTTCATTGCATTCCAGACAGGTCGTGCCTGTCATTTAATGGCTTTGAAAGTCAGCTGACTGAATAAGATGCAATCTTGTGACTGGAGGGATGGCCTAGTGGATGGTTTCTGCCAGACAATCATGAGGACTGGAATTTGAGTCTCCAGGGCTCATGAAGAAACAGGGCGTGTGTGGGTGGAGAAGATCTGTTACTCCAGAAACAGGATCCCTAGACGAGCCTGGACTGACGAACTCAGCTCAGTGAAATACCTGCCTCAGTAAACACAGTGGAGACA